ACTCTGTGACCGTAGGACAACTCGAGAGTGTTCTCGTGGAAAAAGAGAAGGAAGATAAATTACAGGAGGCATATGAACAGGCTTTAGAAGAGAATCAGAAGCTATCACAGCAGTATGAGAAGGCTCGTGAGGAAAGTATGCAACAACTCCAAGAAATCAGGAAACAATTCGAACAGGCTCGAGCAGAGACCATGAATCTGTCAATGGAATTTGAAAGACAATTCTCCAAGCCCTTCGAAGAGCCATTCTGGATTGGTGTTTTTTTTGGCTCCATTGGTTTCTTAATTTAATAGCCATGTGTGTATCGAAATTAATGTGAACGTCTGCTGACTTGATTGACAACCTTTTGCATCAGTCAAATCGTAACGATGTGATCAAGTATGCGGATTTGAGTCCCCATGAATCTATAATCCATTTGGTGCGACGGATCGAAAACTGCCTCATTTAGATCCGTGGGAAAAAATATTTTAAAATGAAGTAGTATTCCACACCATCTCCTACCAGATGAAAAATAATTAGAAGAGAGTAATATTCATGGTTTTGATTAAAAATAAATAAATCATTTAGCCCTTTCTGTACTAGGGTTAATAAAGGCATGAAACGTGCTTCAACTGAGTTTCCTTTGCGGTTATCTTATTGAAGTTTATGAGTGTTGAATCTTTCAATATGATGAATCTAACACTAAGTCACAAAATGCCAAAAACCTAACGCAGTTGTCACTATTTCCAAGTTTTCCACTGCTTGACAGGGCTTTGCTGTTATTAGAAGTTTGAATTTGTAGGGTAAATGCCAAAAAGTAAAATTTACAGCCCTACATTATACTCCGCACATATCACTCAACTTTCCTTCCTCTTTTTCCCGTCTAAATGTTGTGTGGGTGCACACGTAGCACTACCGTATTGCATTCTTCCTCCTGGCTGCCAGGGAAGAGAAATGTTATTTTAGACGGGAATATGCCTCTCCACTTAACGGTTGTCTTCTTTTGTGGTTTCGCCTTGCAAGAATGGTATCTTTCCAGAAGCTGGCGGATGACAGCCGATTGAAATTGCTGTCGGTGCCACTTTCTTGCCAGTTTTTGAAAGGTAAAGTGCGCGTGAACTCAGCAGGCACAGACCTACTACATAAAAAAATAACTTATTGTTCCATTTATTTGATTTGAGTACGCACTCTAGCGAGCTCAGCATCATACCGCTCTGGGCCACACTTCCCTTTTCTCTTCATGTTCCCCAATGCACGTATCTTTCTTTACGAACTCCTTTATTTTCATTTCTCAAAGAACTGGCCAATGGCTTCCGAGTTGTAGCCGTTTGAATTCGACTCTTCGAAAGGCCATCTAGTGGTAACATTGGCAGTGACTTTTGGCTAAGCTATGGGTCGAAGGTGTGACCCCTCTTTTCACTTCCTTAGGGTCCCCTAAAACAGTGGTGATCAATCGTTTTTACTGCGGGCCGCAAGTGAACCTTATAAGTTCCCGGTGGGCCAATTGCTTTTTTAAAATACTGAATTGCGGGCTTCATGCCTGCGGAATAACAAAATAATCCTAAGCCTGGCTTAGTAAACCAGGTACTGAAATAATAGATGCTAATGATATGCAAAGAACAGACTTTTAATTTTTTCTAATCTTTTTACTGGCAAAAGTGCCAAGCAAGCTGCTTGCTCCGACAGCAGTGATACACTGACCATGAAGAGAGCGAGGGGATATTTGCAGCGGAAATATAGGATTTATGTTTTATTTCTTGCTTCCGTATCTCCTGCAGCTGGCAACGGAATCCTTGAGCGCTCTACTCCGGGTGACAGATGAGATGGGGAGAAAATTCTGTTGGCAAGGCCCCATGGGCCGCACACCATGACCTCGCAAGCTACATGCGGCCCGCGAGCCGCGGGTTGCTCATCACTGTCCTACAACATTTAATTTTCAGATGTTGAATTTCAGACGGTCGATTTTTCTTCCCCTTGAAATGACTTCACAACTCCGACAAATAAGCGTGATGAGGTAATGTGAAGACCTTTTTTCAAAGGGTTTTCCATTCTCCAACCTCTCCCCCCCCCTCTCATACAGAACTCACTAACTTTAAGCCAAGGCTTAACTGACTGCCTGTCTTCTGGCCATGATTAGGCCTACCATTTTTGTTTCAAAAGAAACTCAAATCTCAAGGATTCGGCCTGTAAGGGTCAATCCTTAGACATTTCGTTGAGGACGTGTAATGTTAGGCCGATCTCGCGCCTATTCAGACTTTTCAAGAACCGTTTCAGTGCGGACGTGGAATTTTAAAGGATTTTCTGGAATTCTTTGAACACATCTCGACATGGTCTGGGGAGAGAGTACCTCTGGGAAGAATGAAATGCATGTTGGGCGCCATCCTGTTGATTCAGGGATGTCCGGGGGAGATATCTCCATATCTCAATGCATCGATGGGCCACAGCTAGACACCGTTTCAATCTCAGTTCATCTCATGAACTCAGCATTACAATTTTTCATGCAGAAAAAAGACGATCCCGACGCCGATAGAGGCTGAAGTATTCAGGATTTTACATAACTAAGACACGATATCTGGCAACACTAGAGGAGGGGATTGGAGTCAACACGAAATTGTAGATAAGTAATTTCATATTTTTATTATGGTGAGATGGTGCAACGCAAGCAACAAAGTGGACACTTTTCGTCATTAACAAGTTAATACGATTCTTTTAGTTGGTCTCTTTCCCCCGTAAACAACCCAAGAGTGGCTACCCAAAGAGTGGGAGGGGGGAGAGAGAAAAAATAAATATAATAATATACGAGAATGAAATTGACATCTCCAAAGAGCGAGATTCAGTGCTCGCTGCAACCCCGGGGAGATGGAGCTCCAAGTTTCCTGAAGTCAGTGTTAAGAAGGTATGAAGTCATGTGCGTCCACTCTAAGGGGCAAGGGCGGACGCTTGCCCCCCCCCCTCCTGGAAATCGGTCATGGTAATTCATGGGTAGTACTAAAAGTTTAATGTACTTAACGCGGATGTCTCTTTTTCCGCAGCACCATTTAGACCAATCTTGCCGCGCAATATGAAATATCGTTTCCAATCTTCTCAAGCAAAGCATATTTATTCTTCCGACCAAAAGACGAAGCTAATAGGCCTAACGAGTTGCAAATTCAGCTCCACCCATCTGGTCCAGAGATTCTGGTAACACTACTGCTCTACATGACATCGCGTACGTCGTCATGGCAAGGCAAGTCCGTGAGTGAGTGTAAGAATACGTGAAAAATCAAGTTTCCTCTTTCGTCGTACAGTAGTTTCGTAGTGCAAAATGCAAGATTTTGTTATCGTACAAAATGGAATGTAACTATCCCAGGCTGAATGACTATTTCGTCTACGTTGTAGGTCGTTCGCACTAGGCCTACTGCAGCCTGCCCTATTCGAGTGGTCCTATGCCTGCACCTTGGTACTTATTTTTGTCCAGTTTGCTAAAAAAAAATAAAATAAAATAAAAGCTTTAAAGTAGGCATCCCGACGGCGTAGTTAGAAGCGTAGGGTTACATCTTTGCGGTTACATTTGTAATTTCTTTTATAACCGATGCGCCTGGTGTTCCTCTTTAAGGAGAAGCCAACAAGGCCACGTTGGACTAACGTTGGACCAACGTTGGACCAACGTTGGACCAACGTTACGAGCGTTGATTCAATGTTGATTTAACGTTTATTCAACGTTACTGGTTTCAAATTGTTTGCAGGGCTGTCTCATTGTCTGACCTAAGAGTTGTATTATAGGTCCACTGGCGAGGGGCACTTCGAGGCCCAAGAAAGATTCCTCAACTCAGGCCACCCTATCTTGTGATATCGATTTGTAGTTCACCATTCAAATCCGACCTGAACATCAAGTGCTCTAGTTTGCTTCATTCACATTGACGTTCGCAACAAAATGCGGTTTTAATGTGCCAAACATCTCTGACTGCTGATCATTGTTCCCTCGCATTTACTTAATTGTAACAATGTGATTTTAATATACATAGACGTAGGACTGCAAATTATTGTTCCTACCCAACCACTGCATTGGAGAAGCACTTGCTTATCTCTTATAAATAGTGATTTAAGCGGTCCCTACCAAGGCACTCCTCCCCCCCACCCCCACCCCCGCCGCCCGCCCCCCTGGGAATGAACCAGCGGACGCCTATGCATGAAGCATGTCCAATTTCGTTCCTGTTGATGCGCTCTGAGAGGAATACGCGGAGATTCAATTTTTTTTTGCAGAAAGGGTTGAAGAAAGGTAATAGGCGCTACCAGAGCCTATTGATAAAGGAAATAAAATCAAAGGAAATTAAAGAAATACACGCCAGGAATTGACCAAAAGAGCGCCGATGAAAGACGAATCGCGTTGCAATGGCCGGGACGGATGGGAAAACCACACGCAGGGGCTCACTAATCTAATCTCGTAGCCTGGCCTCGTGGAACTGATCGCTATTATGCAGGCGCCTTCCTTTTGACCACGAGGTTGGATGCATCAAGCCTAAACCGCGGAAGTCGTTCGCCCCCGTAATAAGAGACATCTAGTTTCAAGCGTGTGTATTAGCCCTTATGGACATGACGTCACCATGAGACTCCGCGCGTTTTCCCACGTGCGAGGTCCAGGGCGATGGCGTCCACGGTGTGAGAGCACGTGGTCTCCCGGAAATGGAGGGAAAAACACGTAATCCTTGNGCACGTGGTCTCCCGGAAATGGAGGGAAAAACACGTAATCCTTGCCCATCCCATTCCGCTAGGATTTCCCACGATGACCCGAGGAGTTCTTTGACCGATCTGCTAGGAAGTAGGCGCCATCGCCTCAATCTGCATTGCGTTTAGGTTAATGGAAGGCCTATTTGTTGCTTCGAACGACCATTCAACGCCTAAAGTTCGCGTGCAATAAATCAATCTAATTCAGATAAAAAGCTTGACCTTCCAGTAACGGGTCATTGTTAGGAATTATTCGAATCATCAATTTGTCGTGCTTTATTTATTATGTATCTATCCTTAATCATTGGGAGGTCAGAATGAGGTAAATGAGAGAAGTGAGGGTGTGGGCATTAAACTCAGCGCATTTGTTATGAAGAGTTGTAGGCCATTGGGCCCTGCAGAGTATTGTATTCGAAGTTGGAGACGTAGGGTTTAAAAGGGATTTGTTCATCTCTGAGAGGCCTGAGAGCTGGGATTCATTGGTGGGTAAATAAACTAATAAATTGCCCCCTTAAGCAAGGCAGACTTTCAGATTAGTAATCATGAGACCTAAATACAGAGGACATGGGATCTGCAATTCCATGTTGAAGTTGTGCACCATACGTGGAGAGAGGAGAATAACTTTTTTTTAACCGTAGAATATTTAAAGTTGTTTGGTAAAGTAATTTTCTTGAAAGGAAAATTTTGAAGAAAAAAGGTTTCCTCAAACTGGCCAGATTAAGTCACATTTGTAAAAAAAATGAAACAAGTTAAGTACATTTTTTACTCATTGCTGAGCTTTCAACAATTGGGTGTGTTATATTAGTTAGAAAGTCTGACTAAGGGTAAAAACTTTTTTTCCTGTTTGAATGGTCTAGTATAGTAGAAAAGTTTTCATGGATTTTCAGCAGGTGTCAGTAGAATTCTCCCAGATTTGTAGTAATTCATTTTAACAATTCTTGTTTCAGGTTTAAATGTAAAAATGTTGATTAAAGTGAAGAAAAAACACTCTCCCTGTCATCAGTGCTTGATATTCTCAGAAAAAATGACTCCATGTCCAATGTACTGGGCAATGAGTCTCATGTGGTTAAAGTTGAAGTAATACATTGCTGGGGGTTTGGAAATCTATTTTGTCTTAGTGTGCATTCTCAATTTCTTTTAGGGTTTCCCATTTCACAGGAAGATTTTCATCTGCAGGTATTGTACCTATGAAGTTCTTTAATGCCCTGTGTGAAAGCCTTTTTGTTATGATTCCTGATGGCTGGCATGACCCTCATCCTGGACCTTGCCTATTTTGGTTGACCTTTGACCTGAAGAATTCTGTGCTTACTGTTCTTGCAACCTGCTTTCAGGTCTCTCCACCACAAGTACTTACCTTTCTCAGATCAGGTAATCAGCTAAGAAGCCAGCATCAATTGCAATTTGCTGCAGTCTCAATAAGGTAGGGCCACTATACATGAAGAGAACTTAATTCCTTTGCCCTCAGGTCATTGTTTATGAGTTGTACCTTGCAACTATCACCAAAAAATTGGGTGAGAGGTCCTTCCTGGCCCCCTTCTGGAAGGGCTGAATCTCTTGATTTGTGCCACCAAGAATGATGAAACATGCATTATTCTCATTGGTGAGATCCTTAAGGAGTCAGTTTGTATTTGTTTGGAAGCCTAGATTTAAGTGTAACTGTGATGAAGGCAGAATTGAGAGGCACGACTGGATGTCCTGGGTTTGGTGGTGTAATGGTAGTACACCTGACCGGCAATCAGGAGGCCCAGGTTCAATTCCCAGCCATCCCCTGGCTTTCCTTCATCCTCTCTCATCCATCCAACCTCCCTACTTTCGGTTCTTCTCATGACATAACAGTGTATCTTATTTTGCTGAAGAATTTGATAAGTGTATATAGCAATCATAGTGTTTTTGCCAGATGAAGTTATGACCGATGATACGAGGACCGGATGAGGATTTACAAATGGTCGCATTCCTCATCGGTGATGAGAATCTTTGGGTGGAACAAAGGCTGCATGTGCATTGACTCCCTTCAACCTGCATAGAGGCAGTGCAATCTTGGTCGACGTGTCTCTGTCGTGCCTGTTTTACTCAGGAGGTGTGACTGGAGGTTACTTTCTATCCTAATGACTTTGACCATGATTATAAGCAAAAGGCAAAGTTGAAGGAATGTCTGTGTGATGCAAAAAAATGGTCAAAGAGGCTTACCTGGGGAACTAGGATTGCAGCAAAATTTTCTCAACTATGCATACTAGTGCTAATACTGAAACATTTTTCTGGGTAAATTCAAGGACAAACTGCTTTCCCAAAGAGGTCCAGGGAATCCAAGGTCATTCTTTATATTCCTTTGCTAGATGTGCAATACAAAGCCATCATTCAGGAGAGTAGATTCTTTTCTGTGTGAAAAGCTATATCCTTCTATACCTCTATCTAGGTTCTCTGTACCATTTGGATTGTCATTTACTACAATCAACATAAGTATACCCTAGTAGTTTTGTATGCTAGTCAACATTTGGCATCACATTCAACCTCCTTATTCTTTTGTCTCCACCTGTTTTTGTTCTAACTTCATCATCCACATAGTGTTTTATCAAATAGAGTCTCAAAATTAATTTCACAGTCTAGAGGGGCACTGTCCATATTTTTAGGATCATATGATTAGTTTGCCTTCACAGCAGCCTTCATCAGCAACCCACCTGGCTGATGTGAAGAGGTTTCTGCTGTAAGACCCATGCCTGTAGTCTCTTTGAGAGTCATTTTTCCTGTCTCTCAATATTTTTTTTAGCCAAATGAAACCAAGAATATGGTTTTGCATGCTTTTTTTTTCTTTCCTCTGGACTTAGGTGAATATGTAAGGAAAGACTAATGAGGGCCTCAATTGACATGACAGTTACAACAGGATTAGTGTTTGATTATTTAAACTAATACCAAAACTGCTCTTAGTTATTACAGTTGGAAGCCAGAAGTATGCATTGGATGTTACTGAGCACAGAGAGGGTAGATTGATTACTTGCAGGATGTGGACTGGGTGGGCTGTGCCTGCTGCTGGCTTGCAGCGTCCTTGGATTTGGATGAGCCAAGTGTGCTGTGGTGCTGGACCACTCTTCCTGACCCGAGTTGCCTCTGTGTCTGCATAGGACATTTGAGCACCCTTTCTGAGGCATTTTCATTGCTCCTCCATATGAGCTACTTGCAATCTTGTGAATTGTTTTGATATACTTCCATTTTCATGTAGGTGTTTCAGACATACTATCATGGATTGTCTGCATATGAAAAATCATAATTTATTTCATAGATATATTAACCATAATCAATGTTAAATGCAGAATTATGACCCTACTTTAAAATTTAAAATCCCAACCATAAGCTATCTAATGAATAATTTGAAATAATGGGTTCTGTCCTATATTGATTCTTGACTTGTTCTTTGCTACCTAGATAGCTAGTAGACTTTCCTGAATCCACTGGGCTATCTCCTGCATGGAATGTGGAATTGCATGTGCAGGGGCAAGGAATGTGGGCAATGGGGTATGAGGTATAATAAGATATCCTGATATTTTATTATTAGGATAATAAAATTCATTGGCAACCACAATGCACATGCAGGACTTCACCTTGACAAGGACCCTTAAGGGAATTTACGATTATACTTATTTTTCTCTGAAGATGCTGACTTCCCATCTCTTCAAGACATATGCCATGGTCATTATTATCATTTTAGCCTGGAAACCATTTGTTGCCTGGGAACCTTCTTTGGTCAAATGAGAGCAGCATGGAAGCTCAACACAAAGTCCTGCTCTTATTTAGACCTTGGCCTTGAATCATGCCCACATGCAATGTCATCTACCTGGGGTATGTCTCTATACATGGAGTTGTGGCTTTCAGTCTGAGGTCTGTCAGAGATTTTCATCATAATGTTGCTGCTATTCAGGGAATTAAGGAAGTATAATATATTTTCAGTCACAAATGACGATAAGTTTGCTTAAAACTAAGAGATTCATTCATTCATTCTAGTGCTGAATATAATTGCAAAAGTCAAGTCTTGCTAGCTAATCACCAAAAAAGAAGCCTTTGATGGAAATGACCATAAAACATAAATATTATTTCTTGCCAAGTCTTCGTAAAATGAGGAGAAATTTGAGCTGGGTGTAGATATACAGGATTATTATTTTTTCTTTTATTTTCTGAACCAAGGAACTGGAGGGGTCAACGGAGGCAGTGAAGAAAGTCGAGGCAGAGCGGCCCATCCCTCGACCTCTGAGTATAGGGAGGACCTTGGAAGCCGTTAGTGTTGGAGCTCAGGCTGCACAGGCCTTGCTCTCTAATTGTCTCTTTCTTTTCCTTTTTTAATTCCTTCTTCAATCATCTTGTCACTGCATCTCATGCAGTTGTGTTGTTGACAATGTGGATCGGCTTGATACATCTGTTAGGGTGAGAGTTTCATCTGCATTTATTGGAAAACTATGTTTTAAAACATTTGAAACTTCTAATTTGAGGCATATATTCAATTCATTTAGGAAACATGAGCAATCATGAATATATTTCAATCCTTTAGAATGAAATAGACATGCTTAAAGGGGCATGGAAAGGTGCATTTCTCCTGCTTTCTTCTGCAGTTCTTCTCCATCAGTGATCCCCAATGACAAGTTCAATTAAAAACCTTTCCTCCCTATTCCCATTAGGAATCAGTGGAGGAGTCCCCTGGCTCAGTGAATGCAGTCCTTGCTTATCTTCTGGAGCTGAAGGATTTTGGACCAGCAGGAGGGTTTGTATCAGCCTTTTCTCTCCCCCATCATTGTCAATAATGCCCTTTGTATTCATATCATCTTATTTGCCTGTCTCTCTCAAGATCTTTTTTTCCTTTCTGGCCTGATACTACCTGTTATATGTTGAGGTGCAGCCATATTTTTCAATTGCCAAATCCCAGCAGGTATTGGAAGGTGCATTAATTAATATAAGTGAGAAGCTATGAAGTTAATTTGTATTTTTCCCTTACTATCCCCCTACCCCCTCCAAATAATGCTGACTCCATTAGGCCTATCAACAGATGGGGCTGCAATGTTGTCCATTTTTTCTTGCAGTCTTAAATGTTACTTTTAGCATGAGTCCCTTCCAAAAGTTTGACTGCTTCAAAACAAAGCATGAGCGTGAATTGTTTGCAATTTCACATGCCTCTCTTGAAAGAGGAGGGGTTGAGGCCAATCAGATTGACACATATACGAGCAAGTTTAAATTTTGGAAAATCTTCCCATGAAAAATAGAACTGTGAAAGAAACCAAGCCAAATGAATCTGGGTAATCAAGAAGTCACTGGGCAGTAAAGTTCATTCATTTTGTGGTTTATATTTAGTACTATTCTTATTAAATTTTCAAAGATAGAAATTCACATGCAATACTTCATCAGATATTTGCACCATCCATGATGCACAGAATTTATTGTTTGTACATTCCATGTACAATGAGGCTTCCTGCATCATATCATGAACTCTACTGCACAGTGACTTCTAAATCTCCCTGCAATATATTTGCAGCCATATTTAAGTTCCTTGCTTTGTATATTTTCTATAACCCAGGAAGGCATATTTAGTATATATGCTTTGTCATTATTTTGTTGTTTTCAGTCAGCATACTGTTGATGATGTGAGCTGTTTTCCTCCTAGAAGGTATTCCTAATCTGTGTGATCGATTACTTATGTTTCCATTCAGGGCTCAGCAAGGATGGGGAGGAGAGATTGGAGTCACTGCTTTGCCTATCCTTGGATCCCCTGGGTCTTTGAGAGAGCCTGCTGGGGGAGGTCCATGACTCCCTGGCCCGAGGCATCGAGACCAGTGTGGGGCTGACCATCTCAGCCAGCCACTGCTTCATCCAGATCTGCTCGATCGAGCGCATGTCGGGTGTCCTCCACCTGTCCCGCTCTACCTAGCCTAGCCCTGCTGCTGCTCAGCTCTGGTCCCATGTGGTTGGAGTTCCATGAATCACCACTGTATTTATCCATTAGCTTCTTTCCATCTTATGTAGTTATACCAATAATCTTTCATTATGGTTCATTTGTACTTTATTTTCAGCATCAGGTTTTATTAGTCACTTTGAAACTTGTGAGTCAATTGAATTGCAATTGAAATGCAACTGAACATATTTTAATTTTACTCAAAATATTGACTTTGTTGAATGTTTGAGTTGTATATAATTGGAGAGTTCAATTCATAAAAAAATTTTCCAAAGTTCATGTAACCTGCATGTTTGGATTCAATTGCATTAACATTTTGCAGTCACTTTCTATGCATGATTTTTCATAAAAATAAGCAGTGAAACAGTTAGTGCTTTGGTTTTTGATATTGATTTTATGTGCTTAATGGCTAAAATGGCTTTGGGGGGGTTGGCAACTGAAGCAAAGTTTTTTTTATTGAAAGGAATTTAGAATTTGACTTTGAGAGTCAATTATAAATTTTCCCATCACTG